CTCTCTCTCTCTCTCTCTCTCTCTCTCTCTCTCTCTCTCTCTCTCTCTCTCCCTCCCTCCCTTCCTCCCTCCCTCCCCGCTTGCAAAAAGGCTTTCTTTTTTTTCCGATTTCTTGTTTTTTTGTTTCGGGAATTGTCGTTTTCTATTTATTTATTTATTTATTTATTTATTTATTTATTTTTCCGGCTACCTTCCGGTAGCTCGAGGCTTGGCAAGGCTCGGGTTACCGGTAGGCTGAGCCACGGGCCTTCAGATCTGCTAGGTACTGGTGGTTTAACCAGAGTAGCCATTTGGATTTGCGCACGAGGGAGAAGGGAGATCCTGTGTGGTCAAGGATTTGGGGGTGGCCAAAAAGAGGTTGTCGTCTGATCTCGTGCCACCTGAGTGGTACCGGTGTCCGTTTAGGGCCGTGGTCCTGCCACAGTCGCAGCATCGCTGGCCACATGGGGTCCGTACGCAGGTCCCATTTTTCTCGGCCTGCAGGGGAGGGATCCGAGTCCACCCGGCGGCAAGCAGGGATGGTCCAAGCTGGGTTACTTAGCCAGTAGAGTGGGTGCACCGGGTGGCCTGCTGGCAATGCAGGGGCTAGGCAAGCAATTTGGAGTTGTGCATAGGGGTCCCAGGGAATGTCGTTGCCAAGGAGCAATCTAATCAGGAATTTAAGCAGCAGTGCCTTGATTCCTTTGCCCGGATCAATGATGCCAAGGGTCCCACTGCCCCTTGGCTGAATGAGCACTTCCCAAGGCAGACGCTTTATGCAGCGGATGTCATTATGGTCGTTCTTCCAAAGGTATGCTGCAGCAACCCTGTTTCAGTTTGATGAGTTGTTTCTCAGTTAGTGGCCAGAATGCCACCTTGTACCAAATGGAGGCGAAGATGGAGTTGTTGATTGCCAAAGCCCGACCAACAAGGGATGTTGGTTTGGCGTCCCGACACATCATGGAGGTTGTTCTTACCTAGAGCATCAGCAGGCTCACAGCCACCATCCGCTCCCCTTACCTCTATCATCAACTGGGTCGCTAGTCATTTTTTATCATCCCCTGAGTATCTCTAGTTTTTGTCCTCCATGGTTTGACGGACGCCATCTGCTCCCCCACCTCTATCATCAACAAGACCTAGTCTGGACTATTCTAATCTTACATTGTTCTCCATGCAGGTAGTAGACCACCCTCACCCCTTGAGACAGCCTCTAGGGCAGGTACCCCAACGATATGCTCCACCAGAGCCTATCCCACCTTTGCTCCCACCAATGGGACCCCTAAGACATCGCCTACCGCAGGTTCCCCAACGATATCCTCAAATTTAATAGAGTCCTGTCCTACCCACCCTCCCCCCAGCGGAGTCCCCAATTGAATCCCGCTCGTAACCCATGCCCCCCCAAAGCAGAGTCCTAAGGTAACCAATTCTACTCTGAGCAATCTCCCACAACCTTGTTTGCATCACCATAATTTTTGAAGCTTTTTTTTTTTTCCAAAGAGTCTTCCGCCATCGGAGGTTTGCTTAACGGGGTGATGAGAGCATCCCCCTTAAGCAAACCCCGGCTTTGGAGGTTCCAACTATTGGTGGGGATCAGCACTTGCTGGAAAGCGGGTCTAGTGTCCCTGTAGTGTACATCAGTTCATTGTCATGGTGGATCATGTGTGCGGTGTTGAGTGCCTCCTGTTGAGGTTGTGTCCCATTGTCATCTACTAAGCATTTCTCTGGTGTTTTGTCCATTGCACTATGGTAGTGCCATCATTGTTGCTCCTATATCCCTTCATTTCATTTCCTCCCTGGTCTCCTCCCTCCCCTTTGCCCGGAGTCCCTGTGTTCCCCTTATGTTCCCCCAGCCTCCCTCTTCGCCATTGGCTTCCCATCTAGCCCTTCCTTACAGGTATTAAACCCCGCAATCACCTGGACAATCCCATTGACCAAGAATGTCTGGCAAACCTCTCATAACCTAGACCCAGCATACAACAACCATGGACTAAACCCCTTGAGTGGTGCCAGGAAGTCTCTGTAATCCTTAGGATGCGTCAGCCCAAGGGGGGTGTGCAAATAGCTGTGCGTTACGTAAACACCCGCCGGTGCCCCGGCACGTGGGTAGGAGTTTCGAACCCGCAACCTCAGACCACAAGGCGCATTTCCAACCGGTGCCCTAACCACTGAGCCACAGACGATTGCATGTTGTTGTTGTTATTCGGTTGTTGATGCTAATAAAAGAAGAAGAAAAGAATTATTAAAAGAATTATTTTATTTTGTGCATCTGATCATGACTGGATTTGAACATCAGTCTGTATTTCAACAGCTCATTGGTGTATGGACTGAGATAGGCCATTGTTGTTGTTTTTGCAGTTCCTTTTCAATTCTTATCAGAGCTTCAGGCCGGAGGGTCACTTATGGGTTACCCCATTTTGTTTTGAGATTGGTATTGACGAGCTACGGTAAGGTGCAGAAAAGGTCGGCCTCCAGGTGGAACATGGGGTACCCAAGGGGGTACAAAATCCGGAGTACCCCTAATAGCTTTGGCAGTATTTAATTTTCATTTCACTGATGAAAAAGTCGAAAACGAACAGGGATGCTTTTTTTTTTTTTTTTTTTTTTGCCCTCGTCTCGGGAAAATGTTATCCCCCCCCCGCCCCCCCCCCGGCAAAAAAAAAGAAGAAAAAAGAGAAAAAAAAATCAAACCAAAAATTCAATGACGTATATTCACCGCACGGCGGTCGAGCGTTGCGGTCCGACACGGCTGTGTAGGGCGCAGAACCTGAGGTCACCATTCCCAGAGTGTTCTGCCACCCATGACGGTCATAGCTGTGCATAGCGGCTATAGAGCTTGTCTGACGCTACCCACGATTGCGTTGGGAGTGGGGAATAGCATGCTGCCACACGCTATTTGCAACCAAGATTGGCGCACCCAGATCGACGCGTCTAGTCTTTAGACTTGGAGCCCTATGATCGGCGCCTATTTTCCACTTTTAGGAGCATATACTATGGGCACTTTACCCGGATCTGAGGCCTTGTTTCTTTTTACGTTGAAGGTTGAGTTAAGGCGTAGGAGATTTCCRGATGATTACTTTGACAGGACTCTGAATCAATTCAATAATAAAATAGGTGGGGCTTGGGACCCCTGGATCAAGTGTTTTACGGGTTGGAAGTTTTGGTAGGTTCAGGGCCCAGTTTTTTCGACTGTAAGGGCGGATCTTTCGAGTAGTTTCTCAAGCATTCTGACGGCCTTCGGGTCTGGATCCGACCGGTTACCATTTTTCGACTCGTTCCTAGTTCATTCACTGTAGTATAAATCTATCTAGTTCGTCTAATCCAATACCCAGCGCGCCCCTGAGGAGATCCGGTTCTCTGGCGAGCCGGACGAAACAGCTGTCGGGTTTCATCGCCAGTGTTGTGCTTCATGTCATGGCGGAAACGCCATATCTTTTTTATTACGAGCTGATGCGCTCGGGGCTTTTACTTTCTATTCTACTCTTCTTCCCTTCTGTCGTGTCTGTCTTGCTCCCTTTCCTCTCCTTTGAGTGTATATCACACTTTGGTTGTGTCATTGCATGGAGATTACTCTCTACTGCGACACACACATAGAGAACCGGCGGGGATCTTACCTTGTTTGAGTGACTATGACCTCCTTTCTTTAACACTGCATGCACTCGAATGTTTATTTTTCTTACTTCCTTCTTCTCTTCTTTCTTCTTCCTCTTCCCCCCTTTTTCTTCCCGTCCTCCTATTTCCTCCCTTCTATTTCGCCTTCAACTTATTTCGCGCCCGGGTGTTCTATCTTGGTACTGCGAGGATGTCTTAGTCCTAGGAGAATGAATCGGCACGGTGTTTGTCATTTTTGTCAGTTGCCTGGACACTTCATAAGGGAATGTCCCTTTCATAACGTGCCGTTTGGGGCAGATATGGCGGCAAGAATTCGGAGCGGCAATCCCGGGAATGGAGGTACGAGTGGGATTTTGTCGGCGCCAGCGCAAGGAGGAAGCGCGACAAGCATGTCCAACGCCATCGTCCCTTATCAGGCGCCTCAGAGCAATGGAGGCAATGACAGGAACTATAATGGCGGGTTCAACAGTGGTTACAATAGAGGGAATAGGAACTTCAACAACGGTTACAATGGAGGGTATAATAATGGGAATAGGTATCGAAGAGGCTGGTCTGGCAGGGAACATGAGCATGACGACAGAGTAGACAAGATCTACGGTCTGTTGTCTGAACAGGCGGAAGAACGAGAGGAACGAAAGAGGGAGGCTGCTAGGTTAGTGTCACTTGAAGAGGAGAAAAAGAGACTTCAAGCGGAAGAAGAGAAACGGGTAGAAGCCAAGAGGGAAAGGGAGCAACAGGAGATACGACTAGGGCAAATCGTACGGACGAATGTCCAAGCTGTATGTGAATTTGCCTTGGGGAGAAAGGTAGACTTACCAGGTGAAGGAGAATCTGAAATCAACAAGTTGCGCAAGGAGATTGACGAGCTGAAATCGAAGTGTGCCGAGAACTCGAAACAGGCAAATTTGGAGGTCTTACGAAAGGAGAAGGAGGCATTACAGAAGGTGCAGGATCAAGGTAGCGAGGAGGAGAAGCTCCAAAGAGAGATCGATGAACTTCGAGCGAGATGTGGACAGCAACAAGGGCAGTGCTCATTGGACAAGGACAGGATGGTTGCCCTGCAGCTGCAGGTCGACGAACTCAATGGGCTCCGGAAGGCTCTGGTTGACAAGTGTTCTGAGTTGGCTTCGCTGAAGAAGGAGAACACGCAAATACGTGGTGAGTTTAAGGAACTGAAGGACTAGTTCATTCTCCTTCGAAATCCGGGGAAGCGGAGCGCTGGTGAGGTCACGGAAAAAAGTCCGCCAGAAGCTCCATCTCGTGGAAAGCCGAAGGCCAGCGAGCAAGCAAACGCCATGTACACACCTAAAGACATGGACGGGCTCTACAAAGCAAACAAGAAAGCATTGGCGGGGAAAGAGATGGCGTTGCGAGAAGCCGAATGCTTGAAGGAGAGAATGGCAAGGGCCAGTGCCTCCAAGATACGTTTGACAACGCGCAGATCCAGTGCCTTGAAGAGAACGACTCCTAGGAATCTGAAAACTACCATGGAGTCTGTGGATATTGAGTCGGACGATGAGAAGGAGGAGGGAGGTGATAAGGGGAAGATTGGAAGAAATCAAGGAACCATGAACGTCGAACGCGAGCTGGAGAATGCAAAGCTCTAGAACTTTCGCGAGATACGCCTAAAGGAGCTGAGAACAGGAAAGAAGCAAGAATTGGAGGACCTGTGCAAAACGGAAGGCATCACGTATATAAAGCTGGATCAGGCGAAGAACGATATCGCCGAAATTCGTGCCAGACGAGATTTCGATCAATGGGTGAAGGCCAAATCAAACCAGGAAGATGACGACGATCAGGAGCAGCAGTATTCCACATCTGTTGAAGACACCAATGATGGTTAGGGGGGTTCCCTGAGCGCATCATATGTCTGGAGTCTGGCCCTCTTCTGTCGGGATTACCGAGGCGTGCTGCCTAAGGAGGAGGTAACATATTTGTTTCGCCTTATAGTTATTCTATTGATCATCACGGGTCAGATTAGATGGGGAGATAAACTTCGTACGCTACTTTCCTTGTTAATTAATGCTAATTATGATTTTCGTAGATGTCCTGGTCCCGTCGTTTATGCTATTTTCTCTCCTTGGTTCCGACACATGTATATAGGATGTACTTCTCGTTCTATTGGCTTACGTTGGAAAGAGCATGCTGCCTCTACTCTGTCATTCCGATCTATTAAGGCTAATCGAAAACTTTATCGATGGTTACGACGTGTTGATTTAGTTAACTATGTTGCTATACCTATCTTTGTCCCCCAGGAATCCGATCTGCTGTCCTCGAAAAAATTCTTCATTCGTTCCTTTGATCCCGCTCTCAATTCTACCTCTGTACGTAAGAAGAGAAATAGGATATGCAGGCCAGAAAAGAAGGAGAGATGCAGATTTCGTAAGCGATCTCTAATTCACTATCATCCTGGAATCCACCCTTCCTTGCCCTCTGTCTCCGCTGGCCATCAATCTCTCCATCTTTCCGCCGTCCCTTCATCTTTCATTCCCACTCCTCAAACCGTCTCTACCTCTCAATCTCCTTTCGCTATTCAATCCTCTTCTTCTGCTCGCTCTTTACCCTCCGCAAATATTCCCTTCTGCTTTAACTCTTCCTTTAATATTCGTTCCATTAGCCTTATCTCCATCCTTCAAAACGCCTTTGACAATCATATTACCCCCCCTTTTTCTATTTCTATTTCCACTGGTAGCCGTCTTTTCGACAATTGGAAGCTCGTCAAGTGACTTTTTGGATCGTCTGCTGTTTCTGCTTCTGGTCTTTAGATCTCCTTACTCAAGCATTGTCGTTCTTGGTTTGCACCAGGTGTATCTATTATCGTTCATAAGCTCTTCTGATTCTGTTCAAAATCCGTTAAGCTCAAGCAGACACTTATATCCCTTCTCAACACTCCTTCCTCCAGAAAGAACCTAACCCACTGGGATCTCGATCTATTCATTCGTGCTTATGATGCGGTTCGCTCGCTTTCTTGTCCAAGATCTCGTACGACCTTGAAACTCATTCTTTCGCATGAATGTAGGAAGAAGTTCAATCTCTGTTTATCTGCCAGGCTGGTCGTTATGATAGCTTATGATGATGGGCTAAGTAAGGATAAGGTTCGTGAAGTCTGTAAATTGATAATTCGGATGTTAGACCTCCCACCTGCCTACTTGAATCTAGTCAGCCGTCGTTTTAGACTTGTATGGATGAAAAACAAGGCATTGGGGGATCTTTTATACAATTATAGGTCTTTCTCTACTACGACTGACTCAGTTTGCTGTTGTGATTCTTTGAGCGAAATTTTTCCCAGAAATAATGAACACATTTCTTTTAGATTTAGTGAGGTTAATTTTCTCGCTGATATGTTGCTTAATTCCAAAGATATTGTGCTACCCAGGTACGAAACCGATCTCTTTAGTCTTAGTAGGCAGATGTCCTCTTCCTTCTCGGAATTCTTTAAAAAAGAGATTTCTGTTAAACCCACCACCTTGTTGGGCTGTATTGAGAGAAAGGAAACTAATAAGAAGTTTCTGTCAATCGATGAAGTGTACGCATGGAAGGAATTCTTTCGTGACTTGGTTCTGTGTCCCCTTGATCATAACATGGGAGACACATACGTTTGCTGCCCGAAGATTTATGGGTAAGGTATGAGTAAACTGTTCACCGACAATCCTGGGTTATTGAGAGTTGTCGACGATGAGGATGTCGTGTTGGCGGCTTGTAAGGCTAAGTATAAATCCGAAAAGCTATATCAGCTAGCACCATGGGAAATAGGTGGTAAGTTAGGACGGTCTTACGTTCTGCCGAAACACAAAGACGTTAATAAATGGCGTCCAATTTGTCCCTCATGGTCTGAGCCTACTAAGAAAGCGGCTCGCATTACCTCCACGTGTGTAAATGAGTTAATTAGAAGGATTCCTAAGATTAGTCACTTTAACTTAGGTAGTACTCAAATGTTACCGGCATTTATTATAGCTTCTAATAAAGATGTCAAGAAAGGAGAAATGATCCTTGGGCGCAGGTATGATGTTAAAGAAATGTTTTGTCAACTCCCACATTCGGCTATCATCTTGGCGGTTGAATAGGCCATCGGTTTGTTTGAAGAGAAAGGATACGTTAAGTTTCTTTACTGTTCAAGGAAGAAGCGAGTACGGTTATGTAAGTTCGCTATCAGTGAGAGTGGTTATAAATCTGTTAGATTTTCTTTGTTAATTCGTTTTATTGTGTACGATCTGCAGAACACTTACACGATGGCCAAAGGTAGGGTGGTCAAACAACAATTAGGGATTCCTATGGGCAAGGCTTCTAGCCCTGCGCTCGCATGCGTCATGTGCATGCACAATGAGTTCTGTTTCTTGAAGAGTCTGGGCAACGATGTTAAATTGGTTCGTGGTTGTAGGATGATTGATGATGTCTCCATGTTCGTTAGGTGTAAGTCAGGCAGTCAGGTCTCCGTGGAAAGGGCAGAGTCTGTTTTCAGTAAATTTGAAACAAATTGCTACGACAGACATTTGATCTTGGAAAAGACCAGTTGCTCGAAGGACTGGCCATACCTGGGCTACCGACTACATATTGGGGACAAACCTGCTGTTGTCTACTGTCAAGCCCTGCATAAAAATCAGGAAGGCATTTTGGGCGGTGAAGGTTTGATTTTTCAAAATTTACAAAATTTTGACTCATTCTGCAGCAAGAAGCAACATATGGCTGTCATCTCTTCTTTTCTTCATCGAGCATATACTATGGGCATTTTACCCGGATCTGAGGCCTTGTTTCTTTTTACGTTGAAGGTTGAGTTAAGGCGTAGGAGATTTCC